CCCGAACCCCAGTGGGCCCCCACCCCTTCGACTCCGGGACCCCCCTAGTTCATCGGGCTGGCTCCGCCCTTGCTGCCAGTAGTTGTTGTATACAACTAATTTGTTGGATGAAGCACATACTCAATGACTATGGTATTGAACAAGATTCTCTTACCCATGTTCTATGATAATAATAGTGCTATAAACATCTCTAAGAATCACGTTAATCACTCTAGGACTAAACACATTGACATTCAACACCATCTCATCAGGGACTTAGTTGATATGAATATAATTGTCCTAAAATACATTCACACATAAGAACAAATGGCTGATTTGTTCACTAAGACTTTAGATACTATCAGATTTGAAACTTTTTAGAAAGTTCACCCGTATACGTACTACGCAATTTATAGTTTGATGCACATCTTTTATTGTTTTATTTTGTGTTTTCACTTTGTGTGCATGTGTGTTGCATCTATTTATATAAAAACAAAAGAAATTGAAATGGATAAAAAGCAAAATTAGGGATTTTCTTGAAAATGTCACAAGATGTGAATTTGCAATTGGTTTGTAATTGTTGAGATGAACTTGGATTCTCCTATGGTCTCAATATAAGTTATGGTAAATCATTTCAGATAAGTATACCATTAAGATATTGTGACTACTTCAATTGTGACCATTTACTAACTAGGTTGTCATCATAAGGTGACAAGTATTTGGAGGTAGACCTATGGTTAGTATCTGTCTCTCAGAACTACAATATGATGCTGTATGAACAAGCAAGTTAGTTGGAAGAGAGGGCTGCTATCATTGACGTGTGAAGCTGTCCATGATAATGAATAAAAATCATGAGACAATAGCTACCCCTATGACTGTGTGAAAGTCAACTCCAAGAATCAAAAGACTATAATCATGTTTGTTACCAATTAAAATCTAGATTTAATCTAAGACGAAGCCAACAATTAATTTTAACCACATATTTTATGAGTCTCACAACTTTTCAACCACATATTTTATCAACTTCTATCAAAATTTAATAAAAAACTAATTTTAATCCCCATCAAACAGGGGCTATATATTAAAAAAAATTGAAAAAAGTCAACACTCGAGCATTCAAAAAAGTATATTAAAAAAATGTATATATACATTTTCAAACCTAGCACACACAAATTTTATATTGATAGGGACAAATTCATAGGATAGTTGGTTTGAAATACACTTCTACATGTAGTTACTGCAAATGTCAATTTCGGTTAGGACATTTGTTGGAATAGCATATTCAGCAGATCAGTAGCAGCAGATCAGCACACCTTCAGCTCACGTTCAGCTTCCAATTCGGCCTCTTATTTCAGATCCTTCTTCAGTTAGTTTGTTAGTTGTTTGGTTCTAGATCCTTCTATTTGTTATGTAGTTAGGTTGTTAGTTTTTCTCTATAAATAGATTAATATGCAATGTAATTTTCATCTTCTTCCCTGCCATTCCAGCAGGTTCTATCCATTTTATTTTTCAGTTTCATCTTTTAATTTCTAATATGGTATCAGAGCACTTTGTGCTTCCAAAGTCTGCTTCTCTGATTCTCGATTAAGCCTCAGATCCCTGATGCAGCTTCAGCAGTCCCTGGAGTTGGAATCTCCTGTGGAAACCTTGTTCTCGTGGGTTTGTTCTCGTGGGGTTCATTTCAGCCATGAATATAGACAAGTTCAGAGCATTTTATTGTGCTTCTTGCTGTTTTCTTCTACAGAATCTAAGTGAGAGAATCCAGTATCATTTCTTCTTCATTAGTTCTTTTCTTCAGCAAAAGCAGATCCGGTTTCGAAGCCATGGTTGCTCACTAATTCGGGTTAAATTCTGCTGCTGATTTCGATAAGAATTCTTCAATTAATCTGGTCATTTCCTCTGAAGATAACTATGA